GGGGGGGGGATGGGGGTGTGTGGTGTGTGCAATGCTCTGTTCGGTACAAGCTGCAGACCAGTGTTTATTCTGAGTGCGAGGCTCTCTGTACTGTGACCCTCTGTGAACCCTGGGAGCTGGGGACAGCCAAGGGACACTGCTCCCTGCTGTGCTATGCTCTGCCCTGGGTCAGCGTCCCTGCCCTGCCGCTGGCGGGATGCAGTGCCAGCGAGCCCATCCTTCCCACTCACACACAGGCTAGGGGAGCTGGTCCCACAGGTGCTGCTTCGGCTGCTTTGAAAGCCCACCACCACCTACACTGCAGGGGATGGCATGCAACTGCCCACTCTGTAAACAAGCTCTCTTTACAGTAAAAATGGGTCAGTGTCTTCAGCGTTTTTTATTTTGCTGCTGGAAGCAGCAGTTGCTCTCTCCTGATGGTGGGGAAGGGCTTCTCTAGTCTTCTGTGACCTCCACACATGGTCCCTTTTTAAGTAACACAAAATCTTTCTTAGGAGGCCTCATTTGTTTACCTTTTTTCATGCTGCACTTTCCCTTACCATGATCACATGTGAGCCAGGAATTTTTCAAACCACTTCTTTTGGAGATGACTTATTTTCTTTCCTCAATATTTGCTGTTGGCTAGATCTCTCTTCAGGCATAAACTTGAGCTGTTAGCTAGAGTGCCAGAAAATACATCAGCACCTTCTTCACCCTCATCTATATGGGTTTTTTTTGTTTTGCACCACTGTGAACCTCCCTTTGCAGTACACGTGAGTAGCAGTCTGTTTGAAGGCAGCCTGAGGTTTGTCTACATCAAAAGCATCTGGCCCTTTGAATTGTACCAGCTGGTGCTGTTAGAAGTGTGTCACGGACACATGTGTCTGTCAGGCGCTGGTAGGCTCATCACTCTAATGCTGTAACCGTCCCCAACAATTCACATGTTCATTTTTAGCCAACTTCTCATTCCTAAGGGATTACACTGGTCTTTGTTCATCAGTGTCCCTTCTGTAGAAAGCCACATGCAAACAAATATGTCAATTCACTTGGTTAACTTCTGAACTTTTTTCCTAATGTATGTTGAACGTATTAAATGAAAACTCCTCTCTTTTCCTCCTATATGGCTGTACAGGCTGGGATCCTGTGAAAGACTTGTTCTTAAAAGCATGCTGGGCTGTCTTTGCAAGCCCTATCTCCTCCTACTTTTCCAGGATGCCAGAAGGAGAAGATGGTTGAGGAGACCTATCGTTACCCTGTGCTTAGCCACTATTACAGCAAGCATCATACCCCATTGGTAACTTCTAAAACATATGCTCTTCTAAACATTGTTTCACAAGTTGGATTCATTTTAATTTACCAGTATGTCATCTGTGTAAAACACTTAGTGCTGACTTAATGTGGTAGCATAGTATAGCACGATTTTAAATGTTTTACATCTTAATGCAAATAGCCAGAATTATTTCAGACTCATGCCATCTCTAAGGATAATTGTGGTGTAGTGTAGCAGATGCTGTGACAGTGCATCTGAGAGTACTGCCCTGTAATGGTTTGTGTATGGTAGATAAATGCCATGCTGTTAGTACACAGTGGATAGTCTCAATTACTACAACTGGTTGAAGCACCGATTTAAAAATCTTGATTCTTTTCCCAGTGCTACATGTGCGTATGTCCAACAGCATAATTTTGATTAAGTTCAAGGCTTAGTGCATGAGTTGAGCCACGTTTGGAACAGGCTTGGAGGAGTAGGAATGAAGAGGACATCCTATTTTAGGCAGTAGGGAAAACCTGTGGTCCAGACATGTGATTGCAATGGTAAATACTGGAATTTTTTAGTTTCACTGCATCCTGTGTGAACCAGTGTGCTGTAGGATGTCGGAAAAATGGCACAGCCTTGTAAAATAAATCTTCTTGCAGAAACAGGGACCGAGACAACACTGTTGTACAATGGACCTATTAATTTTTCTTCTTCTTTGGGGTCTTTGCCAAATCAGCAATCTTTCTCTTAAGTCTGTGTAAAAACTCTGGCCATTGTTGTGAAGGGGTTATTTTTAATTTTGCTTTCTTCCTGGGCACAGAGAAAGAGAGTCATTTGGTTCTTCTATCTTGTCCCTATTGGTGGGCATTGTGGCTCGTTTTTGTAACACCAGATTGTAGATATAGTGGGAAATGTGCCTGATTTTTACAAAACAGTATTGTATAAATTTTAAGTGTATTTGCTCTTCTGCTTACGGCTTGGTTACTGGAATTTTCTGCTGTGGAGACTAAGGAAAGTATTGTGATCTTGTAAAGAAAAAGCAAATTGAAAACAGAGGAATACATACATAAAATATGAATAGAGGAATAATGACAGCGCAAAGGTTCTAGCATTTTATAAGAAAGTAAATTAATTATGTCAACTTCTGATTTAAGAAAAAGCTCTTTGTAAAGGTTATCAGCTTGTCTGAAAGTTGTTTAGTTCTCACCTTGAAAGGAGCCCTTCATTCTAATCGTATGCAGTATATTGCATTGAGCTTGAATTTTCGGGTGAGGTTAGTTAATCCAATTCACTCCAGTAGTTTCAATCTACAAATGAAAAATGTCATTAAAAGTTTCTTAAGGTCAGTTATGAATGTGACGTATCTAGCTACTATTCCAAATACTCAGCAGGTATTATTGTGGACCCTTAGCTTTATTTCTGGTTAACTCGTCAGAATTAAGGTTAGATTGTGCTCAGCACTGTAGATATATCCCAAGAAGGAGCATAGCAGCTCCTCCAAATAGGTTGGATTCTACCTTCTTTTACTATGAATCCTCAGAACATCCAGTTCTTTTTGCAGCACTAATACTTACATCTTTTTTGTTTTGTAGGCTAGGCAACGATGACAACCAGTTTGAGATCAGCATGGCCAACAGTGGATGTGAGGTGCATCGCTTTGATCCCAGCATCAAGTCAGCACACATCCAGGAGGGTCGGCACCTCTGGTATCATCGCCTGTCCATTGACTGGAGGGATCCCAATCCAGCCATTGCTGCTCATAAACTTCACAGCAACACGAAGAAGCTGGGCACAATATTGAATGAATTTGGACATCAGAAGGTAAGGACATTGGAGTCAGGTTTCTGACTGCAGGATTAGGTGTTGGGAAAGCTGCGGAAGTTCCTCCTTGCTATCTCAGGAGTTCAGACATTTTTCAAGGTTATCTCTTGACAATGGGTCTTTCTTCAGCAATACTTGTAATGTATTTCTTGTAGGGGTGCCTTTTCTTTCTTGCTTTTTCTGGGTGCTGATAAGTCATCTTGATTTTTAAATCACTGGCCATATACTGAATACTTTCTTCCTCCTCCCCTCTTTCTCCTTTCAGCTAGCTGGTGACATTGGGTGCTAGTACTTTCAGTCCTGTGGAAGTTCTGGTCTTTGTCTGAATATGAATGCTGAACTACTCATACAGCCAAGTTTATAAAGAAAAAAAAATATTTGCAAGAATAATTGGAAGAGAAGAGGTAATGGATGGGTTGTTTACATTTTCAAGGTCACTGGTCCTAATTACAGTCATCAACAAAAACATCCTGTTTTGAAATTGGCAGCAATCTGTGTGCTTTTTTAAACATTTCCCAGTTTGTTTTTAAGGAACTATAAAGACATAAAAAATCTTCAGGTCTCAACTGCTGACAGAATACATTTGAGAAAGTTCCTTAGGTAACTTTTAAGAGAGTTTTTCCTTCAGAGGATATAGAAGCATGAATTCAAATGCTAATATACTTCATTGCCTGCAACTAGTTCTGCTTGTCTTTGTTTTTTAAGAAATAGGCAGCTTGAGCTAAGGAGGAGCTTTTCTGTAAAATTTACAAAGCAAGCAGTGCAGTGTTTGTTTGGTTTGTTCTTATAAAATGCAAGATGTCCTTTTCAGTTCACTTGCTTTTCTTCAGTATTTTCTTCTGGTTCAGCCCTACTGATTGGACCATTCTGAAGATAAGAAGCTTTTTCCTACTTCTTAGTCATAGTGTAACTATACAAGGCTGTGCATTAGTGAAACATCTGGGGAGAGGGAGAGATGGCTTTCCTTTGACATGTGCCTTACATTGATTTTAGAAGAATTAGTCACAGAGCAAATGATTAATGACCTGATCTGGAAGAGCATATGAATCTTGTGATACACCAGACCTGCTGAGAACAGTTAGGTCTCAGGTTATCGTGCTAATACAGAGTGATTGTAAGAACTGTGAATGAGAAATGTATAGCTATGAATTCTGAGTGTATAACTTTCTGAGTGAAAAGTTATCTGACATGAAAGCAGCTTCTGGAGGGCAGCCAAGGAACATAATGCACATGTAGCACATGCAGTCGGGCTTTCCTTTAGCTGTGTACACATGGCATAGGATTTGGTTAAGTGTGCTGGTGCATTATGAATGGTGTATACAGCTTCTTGCTCTATTAGTTTTTGGGTAGCTTCCCTGTGCAAAACTATGGCATTATCAGTGAGGATAAAGCTGTTACACACTCTGCAATCTTTTGTTACTTCCTATTTTTGAAATACCTGAATGGGCTGACTCTCCTCACATTGTTCTGTTTAGTTTTTCTTTGATTTGGAAGGCAGCCTGAGAAGTATGTTGCATAAAGACACCAATAAGCTCCAATTTATGAAGGGAACTTCAAAGTAAATACTGTGACATTCAGGTTTTCATTCTTCTGGTGAATGAGTGGAATATTTCCTTGACTGAATAAATAAGTTAATTCAAAACAGTTTCACAGAATATTTTCTAAAGCACTTTTTTTCAGTTAGAAAGTTAAAACACACTCTTTGTCCCAATCTTTTTAATTTTAAAAATCCTTCTGCCTACCCTTAAAGTCATTCTGTTCCCACTTCAAGGCAGGAATTCCAGGCATCTGCATTTGAAGTTAATGCCTCGTTTTCTCCTTGCTTTTATTCTTTTAAGATGTGGGACTTGATCCAAGACCCTCCAAGTGATTGAGACCATTTCCACTGACGTAAGAGACTTTGGATTGGGCTGATGAAGAGGGTAGACAAGGCGTCCTGGAGTTCTTGCTGTTGTAGCCTTGAAAAGAAAACATGCAATTTGGGAGTTTTGTGTGCAAGGGAGTCAAAGAACTTGGATGGGCTCATTTACACTCTGGCTTGGATGAGAGCACACCTACTATTCTGCAGTCAGTACTGGGACCTCATCCACAGAAGGGGAAACCCATCCTGATGTTATGGCAAGAAATGCAAAAACGTTTTTGGTGTTACAGTGGATTTGAGAAAAGATTAAAAGGAACTTGATCTTTCTAGTTGGCTATGTGGCATAACAGTCCTCAGTTCTCTGGGGAGTATAAATAGCTTGGAGTTAAGGGATTTACCGACTACTGCATTAGGATGAGACTGAAAGGAAACATATAGTCTGAGTATTTAAGGGAACTGTTAGAGTGTGAAATCTTTTAAGCCCTGGAATAATCTCCAAAGGATGTCATGAGAGTCATATTTTCAGGTACACAAATCTAAACTGAAAATTTACTGGTCTATCTTCTGAGAAGAGCAGTATTTTATCAGTCGCAGGAAAGGATAAAGATGTAAAAATTGTTCTTGCTCATCTTCCCCCTCCCCCCAATGTTTTTTGCTGAATGTGCAAGCTCTAGCGCATGGCTGATGAACAGTGGAAAAAAGTGAGAAAGCCACTGAATGCACAAGATCTTATTGCAGTGGAGTTCAGCTTTGTGAAAGCTCTCACTTCATATTCTCTAACTACCTACCGGGGTGAGGATGCGACAGTGCTGGTGTTCCCCATGGATTAGTGATAGCTGGGTGGGGAACTTCCTTCATACAGAGTTGCTGGATAATTCAAGTCAGAAGGGATATTGAGAGGCCTATAGTTCAATCTCCTGCTCAGTGCAAAGCCAGCTGTGAAGCCAGACCAGGTTGTTCAAGGCTTTATCCACTAGGGTCTTGAAAACCACTGAGTTTTCTCCAAAATGGAGACTGCATTTCTCTGGGCCAGCTGTTATCCTGTTTGTGAAAAGTCTCCTTATATCCAGTCTGAAACCCCACGATTTCATTTTATGCCAGTTGTCTCTTGTCCTACTGCTGTTCACTGCTGAAAACCTTGTCTCCACTGTCTTGAAGACCTCTTCATAGGCTCTAAAGACTGATAGTAGTCCCCCCCACAAAGCCATCTCCTGCCTAGTTTGAACAAGCCCCGTTTCCCTAGCCTCTCCTTGCAGGGCAGGTGTTCCAGTCCCCAACGATCTTGGTGGCTCCCAGCTGAACTCACCTCAGTTTATCATTGTCTATCTTGTGTTGTGGGGACTAAAACTGGGTGTAGTATCTAGATGCACTCTCACAAGTGGTGAGATAATCACATCCCTTGGTCTACAGGCCATGCTCCTGCTAATGCATCCTGGGATGCTGTTGGCTTTCTTTGCACCATGACCCCCGGGGCCTTTCTGCAGAAATGCTTCCCAGCCAGACAGGAATTCCCCAGCTTTTATCATTGCAGGGGGTCCATCCTTCTCAGGTGCAGGTCTTGGCATTTATCCTTGTTGAATTTCATGAGGTTCCCGTTGGCCCATCCCTCCAGCCTGCCTGGGTCCCTCTGGATGGCGACTTTGCCCATGTGTGTGAGTATTGACTGGTCCCACCAGTTTGGTGTCATCTAACACCTCCTCTAGGTAACTTACAAAGATATTAAATAGGACAAATCCCAATATAGACCCTGCGGCACTCTACTTGTAACTGACCTTCAGGGAGAATACAACCTGTTAATTACTGCCCTCTGAGCCCAACCATCCAACTGGTTTCTTAATTATGAGGTTGTCTGTTCATCCATACTGTAACATCCTGACTTGAATACAAGACTACTGCGGGAGGTCGTGTCAAATATATATCCCAGGGTTCTTCTAGACTAGTCACAGCTGATTTCATGGTCTTGCAAGGGGATCAGTCTGAATTTGTTACAAGGGGGCCAATTCAGCTGCCTGAATTCACCTAGATTTGTGTTGTGTATGATATCAGTGTCCTCTTCAGAAGATTGCTATGTTCCATGTAGCCCAGATTTTAGTATGCAATAAAACTATAAGGGGAAGACCATGTTGAAATGCAAGCTCCCTCCTACCACTACAACATTATCCCCTTGACAAAAAGTCCTAACCCTTAACCAGAAATTCAAGCTACCACATGTATCATGTATGCTATAAAGCAAAATTTATAACACTTGAGAGAAAAGCCTTGTGCAGCAGAAGCAAGCAAAAGTTCATTCTGTCCTGAATGGGCATGCATGAGTAAACCATGAACGTTCACACATGCAAACTCTTACTTCAGTAGTAGTTTTCCTCTTGCTGGAGTTCCGTAGGACAAATCTCATGTGATGTCATCAGTAAGCGCTATGAATTTGCATTCCTTGGCAGTATAGCTCAGCAGTAGATGAGATGGTTTGTTGGAAAATGAAATAAGCTGAAAAGGAGAACCGGGGGATGCAAAGTAAGACCTTCCATTTAATCAGGAAGTGCTCTTAGGTGTAATTCTCAGGGGACAGCAGAGTTAGATTCAACTTTTGTCATTCAAGTCATCTTCGATAAATTGTGTAAGAGACCAAACTGTGTCATTGTTTATTATGAAAAGAAATGCAAAGCAATCTAAGTCCTGATTTTGATTTGAAGGCTTTAATTTACACTGGCTCTTCCATGAAGATTTTTTTTTTTTTTCTGTGACAACTCGACTAACAGCTGTCTGCTTCATTTTATTGCACAGGCCTTAGATTTAGAGTTTCAGTAGGAAAAACCTCCTCCCTTTCATCTGTTATTTAATACTTGACATGACTTCAAAACACTACACCCTGAAGCCATTTTGATTAATAACCTCATGTCCTCCTAGGCAAGTAATTTATCACTTGCTCCTCTCCTAAATCAGACACTATAGAGTCTTATTTTGTGCTGCACTTTCAGTTTTGTGAAATTAGTGTGAAAGAGCAAAGATTAAAGAAAATCAATTTACCATTTTGGTTTAAAATTGGCTCTGTTGTGAGTACACAAATAAATATAAAATAAAAGCCCTGGAAAAACTGTATAGCAGCTTAGTTGTGCATGGAGATTTGATTAGCAAACCAAAA